CATTGTTGTAGATGAGCCCCCTGGAAGCCTGGCTTTCAGACATTTTGGCATCCTAGCCATAACCTTCCTCATGAGCATTGCCAGGTCCCCATTATGTCCCTTCTCTCCCTTCCCCCATGAAAGGCAATAATATGTATTTAAAGCAAATCTCTTACTCTTCTTTAAGACAACTTCCTGGAGGTAGAGTTTGTAAAATTCACATTCCTTTAATTGCATAGTTCCATGCTTTGTAGTGAGTTAGCCATATTTTGCAGCCATTTATCACCATAACCTAATGTTAACATTTCCATTGCCACGGGCCTGGTGGTGTGGCCTAGTGGCTAACGTCCTCGCCTTGAAAATGCCGGGATCCCACAAGGGTGCCGGTTCTAATCCCGGCAGCTCCACTTCCCATCCAGCTCCCTGCTTGTGGCCTGGGAAAGTACTCGAGGACTGCCCAAAGCTTTGGGACCCTGCACCCATGTGGGATACCCGGAAGAAGTTCCTGGATCCTGGCTTTGGATTGGCATAGCATCGGCCATTGCACTCACTTGGGGAGTGAATCATCGGACTGAAGATCTTCCTCTCTGTCTCTGCTCCTCTCTGTATATCTGACTTTCCAATAAATAAATAAATCTTTAAAAAAAAAAATTTCCATTACCACACTACCCTTCTAGTTGATTCCCACTCCCAGCCCTGAATTATTTTACTCTCTACCTCTAGAATTGCCTTTTCTGGGTGTTTTACATAAATGAAACATAATATGTGGCTGTTTTGCATTGATTTTTTTGACAGCATCATTTTTTTAGGCTCAAGTATGCTTTCATATCAGTATTTTTTTGTGGCTGTGTAGTGTTCCATTCTGTGAGAATACAGCACATTTTATTACTCATTCACCAGTTGATGGGTATGAATATTTGGGTTGATTTTACTTTTCCACTATTGCAAATACTACCACAGACACTTGCATGCATATCTTTGAGGATATTTTAAACTTCTTATTTTCTTTGTTTATTCACTTATTTATTTGAAAGGCAAAGTAATAAATTTTTCCAGCTATCGTTTTACTCAAGTTACCCACAACACCCGGGATTGAGCAAGGCTGAAGCCAGGAGCCAGGAACTGCACATTCTCCCACATAGGTCTCCCACATAGGTGACAGGGACCCAAGTACTTGACCCATCACCTGCTATGTCCCAGAATGCAGTAGTAGTGAGCTGGATTAGAAGCAAAAGAGCCAGGACCCAAACCATGTAGGTGTCCCAAGCTGTGTCTTAAAGCACTAAACCACAATGCCTGCCCCGGGAAATTTCTTTTAAGAAGTGCTATTGAAGTCTTTGCCCATTTTCCCTCCAGTAGTGATGATTTTGAGTCAAGTAAGGAAGTTAGCGATAGCCAGTTTGTGTGTTTCCAGCAGGATGTCATATACACACATCTGTCCATTGCAGAACAGCTGGGAGTCCCTCCTGGTCCCATCCAGCTCTGCCCTTCATCCATTGAAGGGCTACACTGGCAGGCCTAGTGTGGATATTTCCAGGGCCTGTAAGGCAGCAGCAGCTTCCTGAGGAGGCTGAATTGCTTACATAGTTTTCCTTTTTTTTTTTTTTCTTCCAGAATTGGGGTTGGTTTTACCCTTGAGTTTCACTTGCTGTGCCTCTTGCACATGATGCCCTGGAGGATCTTAAAGCACTTCCCTTTCTCCTTTTCCAGGGTAAACCCTTATCCCTGGGTGGAGTTGAGTCCTTTTAGATAGTCAACAGAATGGGACTCTATGGTTAAGGGCTAGGTTTGCACATGTTTTAACAGCTGCCTGCCACCACATTGGTTCCTCTGAGGCATGTGGTGCCCCAGACCTCCAGCTCTTGGTGTTACAAACTGAGTCTGCACCAATACTATGGTTCTTTCATTGTTGCCAAATCGTATGTTACTTTACATGTAACTCTGTTAAATTTTATCTTACCAAGTGTTGTTTTTTATTTTTTAGATTTGTTTTATTCTAGTGAAACATACATAGCATAAAACCATTTTTGTTTGTAGCACAGTGGCAGAGAGAGATATAGACAGAGAGCTCGCCCATCTGCTCACTCACCCTCTAATTGCTGACAATAGACAGGCTGAGCCAAGCTGAAGACAGGAGTCTGGAACTCAGTTTGGGTCTACTAAATGGATGAACCCTAACTGGGCTTTCACCTGTGCCTCCCAGGATATGCTTTAGCAGAAAGCCAGCATCGGAAGGAGAGCTAGGACTTGACCCCAAGTACTGTTGTAAAAGTTGCCAACGTCCCAAGCAACATCTTAGGCAAATGCTAAATGCCTGTCCGATTTTCACCTGTTTTTAAGTGTGCAGTCCAGATGCAGTAAGGACATTCCTGCTCTGCTATAGCGGTCACAACTGTCCATCCTCAGATGATACAAAGTAAATTTCTATGTCAAGAAAACCTAAGTTCTTATTTTACTGCACCCCATCTCCTAGCCACCTTCCATTTCTGAACTTGACTTCTCGAGGTACCTCTCCTAAATGGAATCCTACAGTCCCTATCTTTTTGCTCCTGGCATATTTGACTTAGCATATTACCTGCTAGGTCCATCCCTGTTGTAGCATGTGTCAGAATCTCTTTCCTTTCCGAGGCTGACTAGTATCCCGTGGTATTTATTGTACATCATGAGTTGCTTCCACCTTTTCACTGTTATGGATAAATGCTGATGTGAGCATGAGTGTACAGAGGTGTTGGAGTTTCTTTGATGGTACTGACTATGTAATGCATTCATTATATTTTGCCTTTGTTTTGTGTTATTGGAAATTACCTGAAAATCAGATAATTTTGACTTCTGCTTTTATCCAAGTCCATCTCCTTTTTTAAAGATTTGGTTGTTATTCATTTGTTTATTTTATTTGAAAGGCAGAGTGACAGAGGAAGTTAGAGAGACATATGTACTACAGAGAGAGAGAGAAAGAGAAGGTCTTTATCCTATCTGGCTCACTCTCCATATACCTACCACAGCCAGGACTGGGCCGGGCCAAAGCCAGGACCCTGGACCTCCACTGCCTTCCCGGGGGCCTTAAGAAGAAGCTGGGTCTGAAGCAGAATAGCTGGGACTTGCATTGGTACTCCAGTATGAGATGCAGGAATCCAAGAAGTGGTTTAACGTGCTGCACCACAATATCCATTCTTTCCAAATCAAGTTCATACTTGATTATAGAGTGACATTTCCTATAGATGTAAGTTACCATTTTGGACAAAGCAGTCATTTCTCATATCTCAGCCTAAAAAAGAAAATGTCTCCCCTCATCTTCATGACTGGACTCTGAGAGCCGACTCGGGCTAAGCACTGAAGCTGGCTGCCCCAAGTACAGCTGTGAAGCCCCTTGGCTGCGTTTCACTGGGAGAGAGGAGGGTACACACTGCTTGTTTGCAGCAACATGGCAGAGAAATGACTGTCAGGTACCCAAAGAAAGGGAACTGCGTCCTGCAGCGATCCGATTAGGACTGAATTCTCCTGCTCCCCAAGTGCTTCTTGAGCTCCTCCTTGGTGGAAAGCACAGAGCACTTCTGGGAAAGAAAACAAGACTAAAACACACTCCCTGCTTCCAAGACCATCCTGATGCAGAGCCTTTCAGAACCTGGAGCTCTTGGAGCAAGGTTTTAGCCATCGGTGTAAGGACCTGTCATCTCCTTAAGCGAAGAGGATTACAGGATATGGCCAAGAGCAGAGTGTGCTCTCCATATGGACATACAGGGTGAAGGGAGGATCTCAGGCCGCACTGAACAGATCTCAACCCAAAAGGCTTAAAGCTTTAGCTCTCTCTGCACTTTGGCTAACAGAAAAGCCCCAAGAAAACAAAAAGTACTCTTGCTCTTGACAGTATAAAGTTCTTATTATTATTAGAGAATAGTAACTGTGCATTTATGAAATCCTTTGTCAGAGCAATTTAGTTAATAGCTATGTAAATGACGACTTACTTCATCGTGTAGGTGGATTGCTCTATGTACACTTTCTCGGAAAGAATGTAAGTGCTAAAAAACTGTTAACATCACAAATGGAAAGAAGCAAAAAAAAAAAAAAAGTTAGGACTGGAAGGCCAGCCTCTTGCTCCCTTAGGTGTGTTGGGAGTGAAACAGAAAGTCCCTCTGGTAGTTGGGATTTGTTGGGTTGACAAGTGGTAACCTTTTCTGTTCTGGTCCAGCTCATGGGCTTCTGTGGAAACTGAAGTGGATTGAACGTTGTTTCTCATGGCTGATGAGCAATCACTGAGGGTGGGATGGGGAGAACTGCTGGAAGTTGATGCCACAGCATATATTTCCAGAACATCTCCCTACAAAGCCTCTGAGGGGTTCTTTAAAAAGGTCATTGGGATTTTTTTTTTTTCTTAGTCTAAAAACGGCTTCCAAGGAGGCTGGGAGGCTGGGAACAGCAGGGGCCCCCTGACCCTGTCTGCCTCCCGTGGCCAGCATGGAGGCTTCTGTTGTGGCTGAGGAGCTGAGCCAGGCCTAGCCTGCTACTCTGACCTCACAAGAGTTCATCCAACCCCCAGCCTCATCTTCAGCTGTGCTTTCATCATTGTATTCCCCTTCTTTTGACATCTCTCTGGATCTCCATTTATCATGCAAATCACATTGAAATGCTCCATAGCGGATCCCAAGCCTGTCACCAATTTGCCCTCCCACACACCCTCCCTCCATAACTGCCAGGACTCCCACTCCCATCAGCCCCCATCCCTTGCAACAGGCATCAGAGGAGTGGGCAGGAAGTCAGGCACCACGTCAGTTTCTCCCCGACGGCCTCCAGCGTTTAGGATTCTCCTGTGTGGCCACCTGCCCTCAACAGGCAGCCCACCCAGGCCCTGCCCACTGAATGCCCACAGCTGTTGTCACAGGCGCATGTCCCTGCACTTGGAAGCCCATTTCTGCTGCACATGGCCTCTGAGGGTGCAGACTGCAAGCTCCTGTGCTGCTCTTGCAAGGCCTCCCTGCTTGACTTCTCCTAAATGTTTGCTTCCATCTGCTTCCCTTTTCCTTCAGGTGCAGAGTGAAGACAGCGTCCTCCTGTTTGTTATTGCCTGGACCATCACAGAAATTATCCGCTACTCCTTTTACACATTCAGTCTTTTAAACCATCTGCCTTACCTCATCAAGTGGGCCAGGTAAAACATCTGTGGGACCAAGATTGACCCTTGACATTGTCCTGTTGCTGTGGTGCCCTACAGGGCCTTGTAAACACCACCTCCTAGTTTCTGAAGCTAAAATTGTCAGAGACAAGTTGGGTGGAAAACTGTACGTAGATTTCATCAGGGGAAGAGTCTCTACTGACCTCCAGTAATAAAATCACTTCCGTTTTTTGCATTTTACCCACTTACTGTCATTGGGATCAATAAGGTTAAATTATTCAGCAGAGGTGCTCACTTTGGCAACACATACACTGAAATTATTCAACAGATTTGATGGATAATCCCTTTGTTTTCCATACTAACTTTTACTGTAAGACTCTGCCATAATGATTTTTTTTTTTTGGACTTAATTCAATTCTGATAGTCCCAATTTTACCAAGAGCCTATAACATTTAAATTAATCTTTAGTTAATAACAAACATCCCCATGGCAGTATTGGCTTATTGGTTTTATTTTTATTTTGCTTTTCTTTTTTACCAATGACAGTCCTTATAAGTTAGATAAAAGGCTAACAGTTCATCAGTTACCTTAAAATCCATGATAAAGTTGTAAGCAGTTTTCTAAAATTGAAAAAGACCATGAAGGATGGGAAGTGAAGGCGGAGTGACAAAAGTAGAAGGCTGCAGGTTATCCTTGGGTCAGAATGCCTCCCTTTATAGAAGGAAAACCATGGTTCCCGGGCCATTTATGAGTTTTGATGGTTAAATTTAGGACATAATCCAGTTACTGCTGACATTTCAAGTGTGAGAGCGCCTCTTTATTTTTATTGCTTTTCACCATGAACCTTTTTCTCAGGAAAGGGGAGAAAGGGAAGCAGCAGTTATTAACTGACGTGAACAACCACCTGCTCTGGGTTCCCAGGGGGCTTGTTGACCATGCCCTGATTTCACTGGCCAACTAAGCAACAGCACCTTTTGCCCATTGTTCTTCATTGTCCCACAAAGGATTCCTCCTTCTGCACTCTACTCCTTATCATAGGTAATATAGGCCATGGGGAATGTTGCCCCTTTATTTGTGTAAAGGTCTCAGCAAAATTCCCAGGCCTGGAAGTACAGAGTGCAGTGCTTGTTGTAAGCCACAGACAGCTGAGACCTCTGAGCTGAAGATTCCTGTAGCAGCCGCACCTCTGCCTTGCAACTGCTTCCTGGGGTGCTAACTGCTCCCAGGTGACAGTCAACTGCAGGGTTTTCATAATTGAAAAATCACATAATGACCAAAAGCTATTATGAATTTTAAATTAGTGTGCTCAATTAGAGTCAACTTCATTTTTCACAGGTACTTCTTTTTTCAGTCCACACACCAGGCATCAGGGTGTGTTGTAGGAATTCAAGTACCTTCCACCCCTGCTGGCTCCCACTACCCCCAGGATGATGTAAAGCATGCCTCGGGTTCACCTCTGCCTTACCAGCATGTGCCATCACCTTAGCTGGTTTCCAGGGTTGTGGATTGAGTCAGGCCTCATCCTGTATTTGGTCTTAGAACTTTTGAAAACATATACCTGCTATGAGTCCCTTTCAAAAACCAGCTTGCACAAGTTGAACTTAAACAACAGATAGATGGGAAAAGATAGCAAGGGAGCTTTCTAGAAGGTCAGCACCGACGAGAAGATGGAAGTGTCTTTCCATAAAACTGGCCTTGTGCCTCAGTGCTGAGGGTTTTGTCCCCTCTTGTCTCCTTTCAGATACACACTGTTCATCGTGCTGTACCCGATGGGTGTGTCAGGAGAGCTGCTCACCATCTACGCGGCCCTGCCCTTTGTCAGGCAAGCTGGCCTCTACTCCATCAGTCTTCCTAACAAATACAACTTCTCCTTTGACTACTACGCGTTCCTGATTCTGATCATGATCTCCTACATTCCACGTGAGTAACCATTCCTGCGTGAACTGACTTAGCTGTAAATGTGCCACTGCAGGAACCAGCCCTGATTAGTTGGGTGCCATATCCAAATCAATGGCAGTTTGACTGATCGGGAATGTTAGATGCTGGCCATCGACAGGGATTTTCTCTGGTACCTCCTGACTAAAGAATAAGCCTTCTTGGTATAGCTGCCCAAGATGCAGCCCTTGTCCATAGGTGGGCTGGAAACCCACAAATACCAGGTTAGGTTAGCTACATAGGACAAGGAGCACTGGCTGGAAAGCAGAGAAGTCCCCAACACATTCCCTGTGGATTGGTTTTTCGGTCTCTTAAGAACTACTGCTGAGCAGAGGTAAAAAGCATTGTCCAGAGGTTTTTGTGCTTTGCTTACCATATCACAATAGATAGATTCACCAGTTTCACTTTAAGGAATTGGTCATTAACTGGAAACAAATCCCCAAATAAAAAAAGGCATGTCTTCTCTTTCTCAACTTTCTTGCTGATCACTGAACCCATATGAACAGGGTGGGGTGTTCCCTTCAGGATGGTTTCCGGCCACTTTGTTGCACTGCTGGAGAATGAATGTGTGCAGCATCTGGCGGCCCCAGCATCCTCAGGGACAGAGAGGAGGATGTGGCTGGTGCTCCTGCAGGGCGCCAGTCCTGGGGACCCAGGACAGGAGCCTAAAGCAACCCTCTTCTGGATTCCTGATGTTCTGCTGTAAGCCCTGTGACGGGTGCCCACATTCCAAGGACAGAGTGTGGCTGTGTCTTCTCATTTAGCTGTGTCTGTAGCCATTATAACACTGAATCTTACTGTAGCTGATAAAGGCTGCTATATTCTGCCCCCCACACACACACTCCCCAAGAAACCTCAAGCTAAATCCACACAGCCTGCAGCTTTATCTCTGTGAATCATCAGCACGATCAGAAGTGTCATGTTTGTGTCCCTCTGTGGAAAATTGCATTTCATGCATCGTGAGGGAAAACTACATCCAGATTTCATGTGAACGTTTTTCTTGGAGAAATTCTTGGACACACTTGTGCTTCATGATTCATTTTCCACTCTTTTTTTTCCCATTGTTGGGCCCTCCTCTTTAATGTCAGGAGCATGATGGCTAAACGTCATCTGTCATTAATGAAAAGATAGTTAATTTTCAAACAAAGGTAGGTATAGAAGAGACTGAAATTTTAAGAAAAAGTAACATGCCTTTTTGCCACCTCAGTTTTGTTTCCTTGAGTTTTATTTTCTTGTCTTCAGAGAACAGTTGAAATTCTGCCACATCTGGAGTAATGCCTCTTACCTCCAGGGCACCACTGAATGCAGCACTGCTGGGGAATGATAATCAGGAAACGTACTCGGGGTACCACAAAATCAAGCCCTGAGAAGGGTCTTGTAGGGGCCAGCTCATTGGCATAGTAGGTCAAGCCGCTATTGCAGCACCAGCATCCCATAGAAAACCAGTGTAAGTCCCCAGCTGCTCCACTTTCTATCCAGCTCCCTGCTAATGCACCTAGAAAAAGCAGAGGATCTCCCATGTGGGATATCCAGAGGAAACTCCTACCTTCTGGTTCCAGCCTGGCTCAACCCCAGCCATTGTGGCCAACTGGAGAGTGAACCAGTAGATGGAAGATATCTCTCTCCTCTCTCTCTCTCTGTTCCTGTCTTTCTTTCTCTCTATATAGAACTCTGACTTTCAAATAAATCAACCTTTAATTTAAAAAAGAGAAAAAAGGAAGGTCTCGCTCACGTGCATACTGAGATTTCCCCATCTCAGTGTCCCTGCCGGTCTTTAGGCTGAGACGAGCATAGCCACACCTGTGTGCACCTGCATGGCTTTTTGTGCCCCGGTGGTCAAGCCTGCTGACCTTCTGTGACAGTGGTGGGGCCCTCCTGAGATGACAGGATTCCAGTCCTGTGGGATTTTTCCTCTTTGGCCTAGGCAGAGAGGCAGCAGAGAGCACTGCTGCCCTGAGCCAGCTGTCTTTAAGTGACTGGCAGGACACCCCTTCCGACTGAACTCTGCTTTCTTTACCTACGTTCCATCCTTTTTCTCCCAGTCACAAGCCTCCCTCGCTTGGCTCAAAGCTAATATATTTTCTTATTATTTATTTTAAAGTCAGAGGGAGAGATTTCCTTGTCTGTTCATTTTCCCCAAATGCCATGAGCCAGGCTAAAGCCAGGAGCCCAGAACTCACTTGGATCTCCTATGTGGGTGGCAGGAACCCAGGCACTTGAGCCATCTCCCACTGCCTCTCAGGGTGCACACTAACAGGAAGCTGGACTCAGGAGTGGAGCCAGGATTCCAAACCAGGCATTCCCATATGCAAAAATGTGTCCCAAGTGGGCCCAGCAGCGTGGCCTAGCAGCTAAAGTCCTTGCCTTGAACACGCCGGGATCCCATATGGGCGCTGGTTCTAATCCAAGCAGCTCCACTTCCCATCCAGCTCCCTGCTTGTGACCTGGGAAAGCAGTTGAGGATGGCCCAATGCTTTGGGACCCTGCACCTGTGTGGGATACCCGGAAGAAGTTCCTGGATCCTGGCTTTAGATCGGCATAGCATCAGCCATTGCGCTCACTTGGGGAGTGGATCATCGGATGGAAGATCTTCCTCTCTGTCTCTGCTCCTCTCTGTATATCTGACTTTCCAATAAATAAATAAATCTTTAAAAAAAAATGTGAACCAAGTGGTATCAACCACAATATGACATGCCCAACCCATAGTTTCTTTTTTAAGGCATCCTAACTCTTGTAAACCAAGAGAATGATAGATCTCAAATAAAATTTAACAAGATTCACTGCCAATCCCTTCCCTGACTCCCCTACTTCCACCCTATGCCAAGTATGGCAGCGCCAACCTCTGGTTACAAATCACCATGGTGTGGGCCACACCCTTATGATTCTGGCCTGTTTTGGTCAAGTGCATTTGGTCCTTCAGGTTGTTAATGCTGAGACCAACTTGTACAGCCCGTTCCAGCCCACTGTACTTTCCCAACTCTCCAACACTTTGTATTTATGAGGAAAAACAAGAGAGGCTACCATGGACCTGTGGGATCCTTTACCAAATTTGGTTTCTTTGTGGTTCTTACACTCTTCTTCAATGAGAAGTTGATGGTACATGTTGATTCTATAAAGGAACACCCACTGTGGTCCCAATCACTGTTATCCATAATGCTCAGAGCATGGCTCATGAGCTTTGGGGCGGCAGTTCTTGTATTAGGGTACTTGGGACCCCTGGCAAGGGGTGGCTCTCTGCCTCTCCCTATGGAGTATACAGCATCAACACTATGCAGTATCTGCAGGCGTCTGGAGGCAGCCAGCTCCTTTGTTCCTAGCCTCCTAAATTGGTGAAAACCACTCATGGAAGAGGGGACAGGAAAAGGTTGAGAGATGCAAAGGACCCCATGATGCTGACTCAGTACAAGTTGACAGTTCCCTCATGCCCATCCCCTGGAAGGCAGGGAGCCCAAAGGGACTGGCTGTCTCACTGGAGAAGGGCACAGCCACGCTCAGCACACAGTGACAGCTCCCCGTGCATACACAGCAGCTCCACATTGGAAGAGCAGAAGGATGGATTCTGTGGCGAGCTTAGATTTTCTTAGGTATTATTTTTGCTGATGGGCAGTATAATTAAAAACAGTATGGAAGCTTCTGGAACACTATGAACCATTTCACTGTAGGGATCAACCTGAAAACTTGGGTATTTCAGGGGAAACAACTATTAGCATCCTGGCTTCTCAAAAGTCATGGTCAGATTACAGAAAATTGCCGAGTGCACTCAGTCTAGACCGCCCCACCACTACCACTTTCCTCTCCCCTGGACACTAGGGAACCTCTAAAGCATATAAAGGAATAGAAAGTACCCATTTGTTCCCACTGCTAGCCACTGAGTCTTCAGACAGCTGCCCATGGACGTGAAGTTTTATCTGTCACAACCTGTCTAGCAAATGGCTTGGAAGCCCAGAAGTCCCTAGCATCCTTGGCTCACAGCATGTCCTTTTACCAAAGTCCCTCTAGAGAAATGTCACTGACCCATTTCTAGATGGTGACAATCAGCATTCTCTATGGTTTCATTATATCCTTACACCCAGGGTTTACATTCTAGAGCTCGCTATGTTTCCTGCCTCTCAATAGCAAGAGAGTCCTCTCTCACTGTCAAGTTCACTGTGTCCTCTGGGTTTGTACCACTGAAACTTCCTGCCCAGGCCCAGCAGCTGAGGGAGAACCCAGAAGCCTGGCAATTTGGATGGGTTCTGTCTTTTGCTGTGGGGGACCATGGCACATTGCAGGATGCTCTGAGACCTCAGGTCTCTGTGATCCATGTCAGTGACCTCCCCCCCTCATTTCCAGATATTCCCTAGAAAGGGAGCACCAGCCACTTCAGTAGCAAGCGGGGGCTTTTCTACATAGTCTGTAAGATGACCACAAGAAAAGACTCTCCAGGCTCTGGCTTACTTCCCATAAGGGCCTTTTGTGACACCCATGCCAGGAGTAGTTTGATTCCCTTCAAATGCTGTAGTACTGCTTGCCACCTGGGAACAGCAATGAGGCCAAGGCCAATGGCTCTGACTGCTGTGAACTTGCCCTGAGACCATGGGCCAGCTATTTCACTGCCCCAGCACCTGAGTCTTTCCTCCATTCCTCTGCCAGTGTTTGTGAGGATTTACCAGAACAGTAGGAAGAGAGTATGCAAGAGGATGAGAAGTATCTTTGGCACCTCTACAGCTTCTTGAGCAGCTAACTGTCCATCACCAGGTCCCTCCCGCTCAGCCAGGGCAGGAAAAGATGAGTCTTCCTGTTTGTTGTCTCTTAACCAAGACCCTTGGTTATGTTCTTTGGTTGCTGGGCAAGAAAGCAGAGGGCCAGGAGGGTCTGAAGCCTGTGGGTTTTAAATAGTGCACACAGTGGAAAATCATGTCTTTAAACCATTCTTCCCTTTTCTTTCCTTCCAGTTTTCCCCCAGTTATACTTCCACATGATACACCAGAGAAGAAAGGTCCTTTCTCATACTGAAGAACACAAGAAGTTTGAATAGTTCCTGCTTTCTGCAACTCCTTCCCCACTGCTCCCTGCCCCTAAAAAAAAAAACAACTTTTCAATGATCAAAAAAAAAAAAAATGCTGCAGACTTTTTGAATTCCCAATACGTTTCATAGAAAATAAGTAAGTACTATTTTTAAAATATCAGCAACAAAAGCCCAATGTCACTCGGGACTGAGATTTTATAATAAAAAAAAAAAAAGAAGATTTTACAAAGGCTATTACATCAAACATTCTGGCCAGTGCATCTGCGCATGCTCCTTCCCCACAGAGAGTCCACACTCTCTGGGGTGGCCTAAGAAGGCGATGTGGCATCCCCTAGCCTCCTGTGTGTTCTCCATAGATCCCAGAAATAAAGGCCTGAAGCCTAAGTGCTTGGGAGTTCCAGTCTGAGTCCCGATGTCACCCCCCCAGCTCGTAGCAGGGCCCACGTTTCCATCTGCAGCGTGTTCAGCATCCCCTTTGCAAAGTGCTTTGACTGCATGCTGGAAACTACTTGTATCTTTGAAGCGGCAAACTTTGTTCTCCGGAATGTTCTGAAATTATGGCTGGGACCCTTCTCCCCACCCCGACTCCCACCTTCATCATGTGAATGAATTATAAAATGTATATGCCTGCAAAGCTTCAGGGTAGTGCTCATAATCAAAAACCAATCTGAACCCTTCTGTTTGTTTTCGATTGAGTCATGACTGCCTGCCGCTAAGAACTGTGCTTGAACTTGGTAAGTTATGTGTGCAGTGTAAAGAACCCGCCTTCTCAAGAGCTCCGCTTCAGTCTTCTTTTTACCACATGACAGGCCTGCAAAAGGCAAGCCCAGTAAGTGGTCTGTGTCAGGTACCTTCCCCAGCATACCCCTGAGCAACGTCCACCATCGCTTGCACAGGCCTTAAGCCAATCTGGTCACACCCAAGCAGGGAACCTGTGAGGGAGAACACCCGGAAGGTGCTTGCTCCAGCCGTGGTCTCGGGGGCAGGCCCTGTAGCACGGCTGACAAGACCAGCCACCCACTTGCAATCCAGCTTCTGCAGCTGGCCCTTAAGAGGCAGCAGGTGATGGTAGGGCACAGGTCTCTGCCACTCATGGGAGAAGTCTAGATGGTATCCTGGCTCCTGGCTTCGGCCTGCCCACAAACCTCCCTGCCGTGGGCATTTGGCGAACAAACTGGAGGATGGAGGATCTGTCCCTGTCATTCTGCCTTTCAGATAGGTTTTTAAAAAAGTAAATATTTTTTTTCTTTAATGCTGTCTAGAGAAACACTCGGGAATGCGTCTATACACACCCTTTTTATTTTTTAATTAACATGCACTCTTGTGTTCAGCTGCTTTTCCTGATGATGGTCCTGTGTTCATTTTCACCAAGTGTTGCATTCAGAGACTGTGAACTGTTCCAGATGGGCAGCCAGGAGCTCAAAGCAGCATTGTCTGCGTGTACCAGAGCAGCCAGAAAAACCACCTGGCCATGAGGCCATGGGACTGATGAATGTCTTCAGACCTTTCTGTGGCTGGGCCGGGCATCGGCAGCCCCCTCCAAGGCCTGGGGGAAAATGTGAGGCCAGGCGTAGAGGCCAGCGGATTGTCCACACAGGGTCTGTTCGTGGCGCCCTTAGCCTCCTCCCCAGCCCTCCCGCCTCCCCAGTCTTTTTTTTTTTTTTTTGTCTATGTGGGGGGATGATCATTAAGATCAAAATTGTAGCTTACTGAGTAGTTATCCTTTTAAAAATAATTGTTCCTATCAAGAGTGCTGTAACAGAAAACTCAATTTTTAAATGCTTATTTTCATAGAAGCTTGAAAAACTTATGCAGGCAGGTGTGTAATAATTTATTTTTGAATTGAATATTCAGATTCTTAAGGGCACCACCCTTAAGCTGGGTGTGTGATTAGAATCTATTGTATTTGGTACGCTAAAAAAAAAAAAAGGTATGAAAAAGTATTTTTCATGCTTTCTTCCTTTTTATTCTTCCAAAGTGTATTTCTACTGTAAAATAGAATCAACTTGAGTTATATTAGCCTTATGACTTTATTTGGTTACAGTCTTTTTCAGTTATTTCTGGAATAGTGTAGAAGATGGGGTAGAAAAGCAGAGTGGGGGAAGCAGGAGTGGGAGTGGTCATCCGGCCCCCTGTGATCATTTGTCACTATTTATGAAAAGCATTGTGTGACACACAGTGGCTCTGCATCAAACTGGATTTTGGCAATGAGCACAGCAAGCAACTTCCTTCTGCGAAGGGCTCTTTGCCCGAGTGTATATTTTTTTACATCAACATTTCAACATTCTTGTGGGAGATAAGTGAGCCATGCCAGGCAGGATGTCCTTACAGTAACCTGTCTGGGTAGCCGCTTTGCTGCTCCCTCGGTTAACTCACTTCTCTCAAACAGTGGTGTTCTCTCAGAATCCAAGATCCCCGGACCTTACCAAATGTCACATCTCAGTGAGCACCAACAAGGAATGTGGCCAATGCAGGGCACTTTGGCAGCCTTGACCAGTCGCCTTTCAGGAGCACAGAGTCAGCATCTTCCTGGCTCCCCACCTGAGTGCACGTGTCACGTCCCCATCACAGTGGGCTCCCAGAAGGGTGGGCTTGTGCTGACTCAGGATCCTCAGAGACACCCGTGGACGCCAGCTGCTGGGCTGCATCACACAGGGTGCAGTGCACCAAGGTCCGACTTCACATTGCAGACCATCCTTCCTCCGGTGCAAGGCACCCCTAATGCCAGGTGGGAACGGTCAGGAGCTGCAGAGGTCCACAAGGAACTCACGCTCTCATGTTCTCGTTTGTTGTTTTGATGACTCACTGATGGGCTCCAACCTGCCAATTATTTTTAATTCTGAGTTGCAGATGAAACGTTAGAAATCATCAAAGTCAATGTTCCTTTGAAATTTGGGTAAAAAAAAAGAGACAACCGTCTACAGAATCATTTTTGTATTTTTTCTATGTTGTGGAAACCAAAATTGTAATTTTATAAGTCTTTGATTCACTCAAATTCTATAATTTAAATGTATTTTTTGTATATTTAGAAACAAGGAGTTCAGAGACCATGCTTAACTTTCTATGCATGCATTGAAAGCCGTTTCTACTTGATAATGTTCCTGTCATCCCAGGGTGTGTTCATAAAATACTGATCTGTGTTGCATTTCCAAATAAACTGGTGTGCGCTCTGCCTGGATTGGAAACCCTGCCCCGTGAGCCGAATGATTTCTCACATACGCATGCGCACTTGGGACTGAATGCACTGCTTCAGGAATTCCAAAGACACAAAGAACCATTCCTGCTGTTCATGATGACCCTGCCCTCACAGGAATCTGCAGAGATCTCCCTAGAGTCCTCCCTCCCCACCCAACCAGCTGGCCTCGCCCCGCTCCTAGTAGGCGGCACCCTGGTCAGACCGCTGATGCCTCCTGTGAGTGACCAGGAGACCCAAGAGTTCCATCCATGTGAGGCTGAGAACCCTGGTCTGTTCACGAGGTGGGATTCTAGTGTAACCTGGCTTGCGAAACTAACACCACAGGCCCAACAGTTACCCCTGTCGCCCTCACACCCCAGCGTGGCCACCTTCAAGACAGAGTTCTGCTGTGTCCTGTGCTGGCCACTTCCGCCAGCCTCTCCTGGTGGGCTTCCTGGTTGCAGGCAGGGGTGATGACCTCGCGTCCCCAGGCTGCCATGGCTTTGCTGAGCTCACAGCTGCCTGATGGTGTGGGCTTCCTTGGAGAGGGAATGCGTTATCCCCAAGCAGGGCCTGACCACAGCCAGGCGTGGCCAACACACTAACGCCTCTCCTCCAGGTCGGCGTTATGGATGGCGGCTTCAATAGCAGAGGCGACCCCACCAGCCACGAGACACTGGGGCCTTCTTTGTGGTTGCTGTATCCCATGCTAACGCAAGCTTTAGCCTGGAGGAATCGCGCATTGGTATAATTAGGACACCCACTGTTAGAACATTCCAGAAATACTGCTGGGTTGCTCTGCCCCCTTTAACCAGAATGAAAAACTAGCTTTGCAATTCCTCCTATCACTTAAAAAAAAAAAAAAAAAATCCCAGCCTCACAAATAAGCCTGGCTCATTGTCACAGGCTTTAGTGATGAAGAAATTGTTCTAAGCAACTACTACCAAAAATAGCCATACCTATTAACATTCCCCAGAGCCCGAGTCAGGAGAGCCAGCCCCGTGGGTTTTGTCCCATACTTTCTTTTAAACATGTGAGAAACGACTTGGTTGGTGTGTTCTTTCCTTTACAAAAATACCCTTAGTATTCACGGGGCAGAAAAAAAAATCACCTTTCCCCCAAGACGGTATAGCCTAGTATTGGCTCTCATTTGGCAAGCAAAAAAACAGCGTGAGTGGCTGCCCATTGCAGCACCTACTCCCCATGTCCTAAATGCTTCTCCATGTGGAGAAATCTTTTTTCCTACGTCCTCATCCGCGGGTGCAGAAGGAATTCTTCCCCAGGCCACGTGTCTCGCCCTGGCTTCGAGGTGGCGAGCAGACTCCTGGTTTCGCCTGCGAGCTGTTGTAGCCCCGCCTCGTCGCCAGGGGGCAGCACCTCACTAGCGATCCGGAGCAGTCAGCGGAACAGCTGGGGCCAAAGGATGCCCGGGCAAGCCAGCCTTGCATCCTTGCGCCCGAAGTCGGGTTTTAAAGCGTATTCTGGAGAAATTCAGCAGAGTGTTGAAGCCAACCTGGCTGCATCCGTTTCCCTGTGCTTGCAGCTCCCCCCCTCGCCGCGTCCCACGCCTGGCAGACCCTGCAGAAGAGAGCGCCTAGCGGCCCAGGGATGAAGCCGGTGGTCGTGCGGAGCTGCCGCTTGTTAATGCCCGTGGCGACATTCCGGGAGGCCGGTTCCCACTGTGCTCCTGTCTCCGGGGTATTTTTGGATAGTAGCCTGGGCATGAGAAAATGTCAGGCCACCCTATAAGGCGGTGTCTGGACCCGAGAATGCGCGTCGGCAGCGTGTTCGTACACCCTTGGACTAGAGTGCATTTGACTTGGGCTGTGGTTTTCTCACAGATGTGAAAGTGCTTCTGTCTGAGTAGTGGATTCTTCCCCCAAAATGCAGCTGTCTCACTGATGACCGTGTTGTTGAGCAAACCAAAGACAAAGGTGCAGAAAGCTTCT